TAGGGGGGGAAGACAAAATAATATCTGCAAATCTACTTGTAGCACACTGATTTTAATTCTTTATTTGTTTGGTTTCGTAGGGAAGTGTATGTATTGTCTATATTTAGGCACCTAATTGCATGGTTAGGTGTCCGTTTTAGATATTAATTAGTCGTATCATGATCTAATACGCGAAATGTACAATGCTATCAATACAAGGAAGGGTTAAAAATTAGACAATTGATGAATCAAAGATAGAAAACTAGCTAAATGAAAATAGATTCATCGTCTAAACGAAATAAATTAGTATAATGATCCGATTAGTGAAATGTACAATAGAAGTAAGGATAAAACTTCATAAGAATTAGATAACCTTAATTTAAAAAATGAAAATGAACTAAATGAACATATAATAATGACACATACGCTATAAGTTTTGCTAATTTAACTTAATTATTCATTGATTTGGTAGCAAGATAACCCAATTATTAATACTAGACAAAATATAAGAGTACATTAATTAGAATTATTTGAACAATTATACTCCAAAAACAAAAAAAAAAGATTGACCTCATCCAATTTTATAGTCGACTCCTTGATGATGTTAGAAGACTAAATTTAGTTTGTTTTTGATGTAACATGTATAACAACCACCTTTTCTTTGATGATCATAGCCATTAAAATATCACCAAATAGCTTATTAGGTTGGACCACACCACACTCATATCTTTAACTCTTCTCATATTTAAAGAGTCCAATAGTATGAAACTTTTAAGAAAAATATTTTTTTGTTATTTCTACACTTCACTAATTATTTCGCTATTTCTTCACTCAATTTTAATACTCGTAATAGAAAATATAACAATTAAAGTAACTTAAGTAGTGTTCTCTTCAATCTCCCTCCTCCAATAAGTTAATTAGTTTTATTTTGTCCAAATAAGTTCCAATTATTAAGATTAAATAATTTTGTACAAATTATTTAAAGAACCGAGTTCTCAAAATTAATAAGATTAAATAACTTTGTACAAATCAATATTAATCATCTTAATTCTTACAACAATTGAGTTCTCAAAATATTCAAAAAAGTCCAAGTTTAATCAAATGGTTGGTATATATGACTATGTTCGGTGAATAGCCGATAATATAAATAAAAGTTTTTAGTATAAGCGATTTATAAAAATATGCCGCCATCAAAAAAATAAGTGAAAAGGATGAAAAAGATAATAAGAGTAGGATATTTTTCTATCAAAAATTGATCCAATTTTTGCATCCCATATAGAGGTATACTCGTAGTAGAATTATCAACTTGAATAAAGTGAGGACAAGGGTGGTATCTTTGAAACAAAGGACCCTTTTTTTTTTTTGGGATAATAAAGTCATTAGGCATTAAAAATGGATTGAGTAGTGTTCCCTCCAACACTAAAAACGTCAATGTGAGTCTCCTTATCCTACTCCATTAGAAATTTACATTTAGTCCCCCTCCCTCCTTCACGGATCTTCAACACTTTCACTTGATCTTTCATTGAACTAAAGTTTGCCCTACCACAATATTTCTCTAAGGCTTTATGGATAGGTTATACGGAAATGGGTGCGAACACGTGTATAACAAAATAGAGATGGTAAAATGTATTTTTAAACTTAGGGGGTGATTGGTATTACGAAGTGTAAGTTAGAAAGTATCTTGCAAAAAAAAAATAAAAAAAATCAATCAATAAGAAAATCATCTCATTTACAAGTATTATCAATATCAATCAAGCAACAAGATTTTTTTCTATATATTTCGATAGTGAAAATAAAGAAAATCTTAATTTTATATCCCTCCGCAAATTGATGAAACATCACGTGCATTGACACAAATGCATTCTAGTTATGTAGCGAAAGATTTTTTTTCTTACTTTTAACTCTATAACAATTAACATATGCTTAAATGTTCTACTTTAGTCTATAGAAAAAATACAAAACAATTCTACTTTTAATAATAAAAAGTATTTTATAAAGGGTCTTAATAGTGAATCTTTATCTCCCAACTCCCGTTTCTCTCCTTTCGGCGCGGTTACCACTTACTGCCAAGGATATTGCATCTTTCACGCAACTCAAATATTGCACAAGAACTCTTCTTCACTCCTTTTTGCTCAACTCCCTTGTCAAATGCCCAAAGCATGACTATTTTTTTTTATTTTTTTTTATATATATTACTCCGTATTATTCTTAATTTTATATATTAATCAACTATTTTTTTTTAAAAAAAGAATTTTAAATGTTAATCAATTTGTTAATAGTAACACTCATAATAATTAGGATTATATTTTAGACCCAATTAACAAAACGTATCACCTTACACATAATATTTCCGTTTCATATTATTTGTAACAATTTGACACAAAGCAGAGAGGAAATGTCTAATCGTTGCAAATAATATGAAACGAAGGTAGTATTATTTCATTAATGGTGTGTCCTTAGCATATTTATACCACATTCATTGATTAGTATCTAACTATTACGTACTCTGTCACTTCTTAAAGGTTGTCAAAGCATGAATTAGATTTTAAAATTTTGTTAAAAACACTTTGATGATACGAAGTATTAAGTAAAGTTTCCTTATCTCTAAGAGTCAAAACACAAATTACAATATACACCAAAGTGTATAATAGACATTGCACAATATTGTTAGTAAGCGCAAAAATTTTATGTTTTGCTACTCCTATTCCTAATTTAGGGCATGTTCTCATTGACTGAACTCAGCTGAACTGAACTGAGCTGAGCTGAACTGAACTAAATTAAACTGAAATGAATATTTTATAAGAGAATGAAATTAGGAGCTGAACTGAACTGAACTAAGCTGAGATGAGCTAAACTGAATTTCAACGTAGGAGAACAGACCCCTAGTTGAAGCTCATTTCTAAGAGAATGAGAAGTTACATTACAATTTACGTCCTACTTTATGCTCTAGCTCAAAGCTTGATTCAAAAGCATAGGAAAGACAAATGTCATGCTATTGATATAACCTACTTTAACGGGCATGTGAAGCCTCAAGAAAATGTTTTGAAAAGTTTGGTACGTTTGTGTTTTATCTCATATTTTGTTTTGCTATATCATTTCAGTACCTAACCAAATTTAAGATCCCACAAATGACACCTTTATCTATCCTATTACGGCTATTACGTTTCAAATCACCTCAAATTGACCACAACAATCTTCACTCCTACCGTCCTTCTCCCATTGCCAAACCACCACCATCATCCCATGTGAAGCCTTTTGACCACTCTCATCGTTCTCGAACAACCCTTCGTGGAACCTCATTCAAAAAGTGTTACATAGAACAATCTTAGTGGGATAGAAGGAGTGATTCTAAGTACATATAAGGTAAGGTCGGCCAGTCTACGTTGATAGGCGGATATGATGTTGGATTCCACTGACTAAGCAAACTACCAACAGCACTTTCCTTATTCTAAGTAAGTTAGGATCTTGTTATAATGATCTAATAATAACAGTGACAATCGTCAAAGGAATAACTGATAATGGCAATGAAAAAGGCATACGCAAACTTACACTCTTTTGACTCAAAAAAACAAAAAAAAAGTGGGTGGAATATTAATGACCTAGAGTAGGAAATTATATAGTACTTATAATCGACCTTATCATCAAACATATTTTTATATAGAATCAATTAGAACATGATAACTGATAACCTCATCTGAAAAATCTGCAAAATCATCCAATCTAAAAAGTTTCTTTCTAAAGTACTATCCTATTTAAATTGAAATTTTACTATATACAAGCATGTTAGGAATATGAAAGTTAACCTCAAGATTACATTTTATTTTAATTTTAATCTAACTTTGAGATGGATTTATCATCCCTTGGGGTCCAATCCTCCATGTGGGTATCACAGCATCATTGTGCAATAAAGTTAAAGTAGAATTGCCACTGTTACACCAAATAGTACCCTCAAGGCCTCACCCGCAAGGCCGTTTATGGTATACCTAGATCTGCCAATCATTGATACGGAGTACAACACAGCACGATACTATTTCAACCAGAAGATAGTGAACCCAAAACAACCCAAACACGACCCAATTAGGCAATATTTGTCATGCTATGCAATTATCCTACTTTATACATGAAATTTAGTACATTGGGTGAACACGAAACTAAACATGAACATGTCCCGGTTACCTGTTTTGCTAACTCTAGTTATGCCGGCATCTCCAAGAGTCCACTCGCCCCAAAATATTCCTTATTTTGTTCAAGGTTGCTCCAAATAAACCGAACTTAAGACTTTAACTATAGCACCTTTTTTCCCTACTAGTAATGGATATGTAAGCTTACATCACCTCCTACCTCCAACCACAACCACCATGTGTTAAGTGTTATAATCATAAACACCACGTGAGCTTTGCATGTAGTCTTATCCCATAAACTACTTTCAGAAAAAGAAGAATCCCTCTACCAGTTAAATTCCCTTTTTTCATCAGAAAGCAGTAGAGACCTTATCCTCAAGACTTCAATTTCTTACTCAATAAGCAACTTTTTTTCCATAAAGGAATATCCTACACTCAGGCCACCCACTTACAACACGCAAAAAATTCGATATTCATCCCATCTTCGATCAAGAGCCATTTTTCCAATGTCTGTTTATTTTTAGTAACCGTAACTTGATGAAAAGGGGAAAATACGGGGTGCTAAATCTAGTTTTTAGACCAAAATCTAAAACTTTAATCTCCAAATATCTAACTGAAAGAGTTTATATCCACCAATGTGTCCACAAATGAATGAGAACAAATATGGGTCATTTTCTAGTGAGACCACAAGTATAGCTGTACGGCATACTCTTTTCTAACGGTATGGGTATGAAAGGTTCTGTAGTGGGCACTTGCTGTTTGAGTTTGTGAAACACTAGTGGTGAAAGGCCCACAATCCTAGCACCATCAACTCAGGTGCTCTAAACTTTAGTGTTTGTGAGGAATCTACAACTTATGAAGGTGCTATATGATATAGAAGAGACCCTGACAGCAAAAAAGTTTGGTGATGAGACAAGAACATTCACATGGGCAGCATTTCAATAACTAACTTACAAAAGTAAAATCATCGTTGGACATAGAACATCAATGAATATGGTCAGCAAAATGGCTGTCCATCAGATTAACACACGAAAAAGTGCTTCTCAAGGTCTATATCATAATCTAACCTCCAAAATTTTCATATAGATGACCTATCCTTTCTCACAAATCATATCGAACATTCCACCTGCCCTTTGCATCAGCATTGACAGTCCAATTATTTTCTCTGAACTGCATGTATGGAATCTGCAGAGATACAAGGGTAAAGTAGAGCTAATTAAAATACAAGAAAAGGAATACATATTGGCTACACAGCTCTGAGTAATGTTTGGTGGCTGAGGAAAGCAGATATAACAAGAATCCAATAGGCAACAGAGTTAGAGCCAACACAAATATGAAGTATGCCATGTTACTCAGATGCAGGCCCAGCATACATGAAGTATATTTCTGATTCTAAACAATTTTTGCACGTCTTTCCCCATTATAATCACACAAGTAGAATATACATTTACTTGATTGGAGGTTCTGGTTGAAATTTCTATCAAATGACTGTTCACATTGTACGGAAGTTCACATTACAATTACATACATTTTACATTTCTCATCTTTTCCTCTACATATATGTGAATCAAGATAATTAGGTATCAACTGTCAAGGTGAAAAATTAAGGGTCAGGTCATACACTTGTAGAAGTGCCAAGATATAACGAGTACTGGAGATAATTAAGTCAAAGTAACATTGAACAAATCCCAATAAGTACACAGCTTATAAGGGTTTGATCATTCGACTAACCAACTCAACAAGAAAGTGTGGATAAGCAGAGGTAGCTCGCTACAAATTATGCACTTCATCAGACAGAAAAGCATGCATAACAGAATTCCAGACATAGGGAATGAGAAGGTGGCTGAGCTATGAGAGATTAGTAAACGACCAACTTAGTCCGTTCACTCCGTTGAAAAGCCACATCATAACATCATCACTTCGCATAGTAAGACAAGGTCTTACACCGTCTTTTTATGCATTTTGTATTAACCATGGACATTATTTCGCAAAACCGGTCATGTTTAATGATCACCCCCGTCCCCCCTAATGGTTCAAATTTTGTCTTTTAGTTGTATTAGTATAAAGTATAAATCTAGCTAACCTTACCAAAGAGGTATGGGATGAATATAAAGAAGGCCCATATGATGAGGAGAGGGGTGAAGATAAATAAGAGAAAATGACCATAAGATGAGGATATAGACAAGGGAAACAACAAACCAAATAAAGTATGTTTCATTAATAGTGAACTATCCGAAAATGTAAATTGTTACATTTATTTGAAAACAGACGGAGTATACTATTATTGATACGGAATGCCACAAAAGAACTCCTTTCCTTTTCGAGGAAATAAAGTCATATGTATACTCAAACGTGTACCCTAGTGATTGGTTGTGAGTAGTAAAAAATGTTGTAATATATAGACAAATGCATTTTTAGAAAGGAAAATTATTCACATGGGCATCCTTAAAAATGACAAGAAATTTGACTTGGGACAAAAGTAACTATTTTGCAAAGCCAAAGTTCAAAAAATATATTTTTTTTCCATAAAATCACCACATAAGTGGAAAGCCAAGTTGAAACCTATCAAGCTGATTCTTCTACTGGTTGATATTAAAGATATTAATTGCTCAATTGCCTTATTTTTGTTCAATATGGTATCAGGTAGTGATTATTTATTTCAACCAGGCCAAAAATGATGTCACAATATAAAGAAGAAGTTTTGTTACCGATCTTTTGAATATATCTCTCTGTTGTAGCCTTTTCTTAATCACTATTTGGAAATGGTGCTTTTGAGTTGAGACCAAAGGGAGTAATAAACATCTCTATTTCAAAGTAACAGTCCTGTTCTCTTTATTTGCACCACTATGTTTAATATATACGAAGTATACATTGCAGTCAAATTCACACCCAATACATCCACAATATCCCCAAGTTATCGAAGGAGCAGCTTGAAACAGCAACAAATGCAACTTCAATTCATACATCTACTGTCATATTCTGTTCTATATTAACCATCAGGACAGTGAAAGGAGTTTAATGCAAAGCATACATCAGGAAACAAATAAAATTATTGTAACCTTTGTTAATTAAGAGAAAGACAATGTTTACAAGAAAAAGCTAAGTTGATATCATCAATTACATGGGGAAGATGTATTAATGAAGTCCTTGAAGAAATACTATACCACTTTACTAGGGTATAACAGTAACAGGTGGGCAGCCACCTCAAGTGTACACACATATGGACAAGCCATGGAGACAAGAAAATTAAAGAACTCCTTAGGGTTCCCAAGTGCAATTGTGCAACCCAAAAGCAACGTGGACAAGTATACTTCTTAGTAAAAAAAAATGTTTATTTTGGATTTGGATTGCATTGCCAATCCAGAAGCCCAAATGTTTTATAAACTAGAGAATGCACAAAATTGAATTGTCCTGTCAGCCTCCAAAATACAATAATTAGCTTAAGAGCTGTTTCCAATTTTATTTTATTAAAAAAATATACTTAATATCATTTCAATTCAATTAAGATAGATAGAAAATCCTTTACTGAAAATCAACCATTAGGCTTTAACTCTTCAACAAAGTCCAAAATCAGAGAAGGTTATTGCTTAAACTGTACCAGAAGAAAGTCAAATGGGTTACTTTTCATTGAATTAATGTAATTCCCAGATATGCAATTACTGATGGTGGACTAAGAAATAAATTTAGAAGATATATTTTTGAATCAAATGTAAAAACCAGCACTACCACAACTATTTGTAAGTCACTCTTTAAGTGAGGTGATATGTGGAGAAGAATACTAGATTCTTCAAAAAAGAAATTTGAACAATTATAAGGCCTACCTTATTAGTGACATCGTAGCCAACCTTGAACCTCAGATCTTGTTCCTTTTGAAAATTGAAAATGCACCAGGTGAATTCTGCACCTCCCCTGACCCTCCTCTACAAAAGAGTGGGGAAGAAGATAAGACATTTGACAAATAATAAAAGGTCCTCAAGCTTTTCACCTAACAAAATGTACAAAAAAAATCCCATACAACATACAGAAGGATGGATATAATCTTAATTCAAGAGAGTGGGGGGTGCCTCTGCAGATACACTTGAGTATCTAATAAAATTACTTAAAAGCTATTTACATAAAGTCAGTTTCCTTCTCAACGATAGCAAATCTCGCACAATAGGTAGGTAATGTCAGGAAAAGGTTGTCAGTCACTTTTCCTGAACTCTTTCTTTTCTTTCCTAGTTCCCATTGTTTTTTTTTTTTTTTTTTTTTTTTGGGGGGGGGGGGGGGGCGGGGGGCGGGGGGGTATTGGGGGAAGGGGGGTGTTACCAAACTTGAGCTACATATTTGGATGCTCCAAAATGCATAATTGTCAAAAAAACTGTAAATCAGCTCTAACCTGCTTAAACTCTTTGTCAATCTCGCATCGTCCCTTGACGTTAAAGCTAATTGAGTCATTAGATGTCACAGGGAATGCCATTTTACCACGAGCAGTGTAACCAAGCTTCTCATGCTTATCAAATTGCACCCCCAAGCCAACACTGGATGACAGTTGTGGTTGCTATCAATTGAAATAGTTGTCATGCAAACAAAGAGGAAGAAGAGCAAGAAGTTAAATGATTCAGACTGTCAAATAATCAATATGACTTGTCAAATCAAGCACATTATATAATATCAAAAAAAAAAAAAAAAAAAAAAAAAAGGGTACAAAGAAAAGAGATTTATTTGTTGAGCACAGAACCCAAAAAGAACAAGGCCTAAGAAACTTATAAATTGAGTGAAGCAAGATAGCTTATGGAGCAGCATACATTATAGAAGCGCCTCAACATTGCACAGAAGTAGTTTGGTGACCCATATCTTGTATCTAGTTCTCCATGAACCTGACATAAAGGAAAAACCCTCCGAATATCATAAAACGAAAACTGGAAAATACAGCATAGATAAGAGATTGAGAGGTCGAATGTATAACCAATGGCACCTCATACAATGATACAACTAGCAACTTGAGGACATATACAATCCAATAAATCGTTAAAAAAAAGAGAAAAAAAAAATCTGACACTCCAAACCCTCGTAAAGGAGTGAAAAACAGATAAGAAATAGTCTCCAATGCACAATGTAGTTCACCCCAAATACAGTCATGATAACTTTCATAAAAGGGGTTATCTTCAAACGTTCAGAGACCCTTCAACAAAATCAGCCAAATACAATGCAGCTCAAAAGGTGAGGAATTTCGCGGTAAAACCAGCAATTTCTCTCTTTACCCATTTCACATTCTTCTATCAAGCCACTAAAAACAACACATTCACTTATTACAACAATTTCTGAACACCAACATGATAAAATTTGCTAAATTCTCCACACTCACAAAAATTATTTGCACAATAATTTATACTACACTTGTATAATTCAGCTTACCCTTCACTCAAAACGTCATAATCCAAGAAAACCTCAGAATTGCAGAAATTCAGCCATTACTTGACAAATTAAAAGCACTAAAACCTAATTCAAAACTATAATAATAAAAATAAAATTACAGTAGCAATGGAAGCTAACAATTAACTGAACATGCAATTATAAAATGATAAAACATTAACAAAGCAATAAAAATCAGTAGAAACAAAATAAAAGCATAAAAATTAAGAGGCACAAAAGTGAAAAAGAAAAGAAATGAAGAAAAACCTGCAAGAAAGTGTCAGAATCAATGGGAAGCTTCTGCTTGGCATGAATTCTGAGAGATTTGGAATCAGCACTGTATCTTAGAGAAGTCTCCATAATTATCTCTCTCTCTTTGCTGTATTCTATTTCTGCTCACAACAACAGTGAAGGTCAGAAGAGAATGGTGAACAAACGGATATAAGGGTTTTTATTTTTATTTATTTATTTATTAATCCGTAAGGAGTATTATTTTTCTTTATAAAGTGACAAATTTTAAATTAAATTGGTTGATGTAGCGCTAAATTAATAAATTTATACTCGTTTCATAATAATCGCAATACTTTTATTTTACGTCTATTATTATAAAATAATTGCAACATTTTTTACCAACTTCACTTACACCGGTAATAATTAAAATCGTGCCCATTATCGCCAAAACTGGTTACTGTGCTCGGTAACCAATTTCCAGCCCCGGTTGTTGCGGTTGCTGGTAATTAAAAATACCACCACCTTCCCGGCAGACCAGGGTGGTGGTGTCAAGGTGTTAGTAATTGGTGGCGAGAGGGAAGATATTGGTGAAGTACTAAGGGCATAGTTGTCCATTCACACTAAATGCTGGCGGTTTTAATCATTTTTATGGCAATATTTAACACCCCTTTAAATAAAATTTTACTTCATATTTAATAAGAAAATTTTAGTTAATTTTACTACTATTATATAACTTACCAAAGTTATTATTCAATCAATCTAATGGGTTATGATTCCTAAAAAAATTATATGAAAAATTGTAAATATCGTGTGTCACACAGGACTTATGGTGTACTTACAAAAACACTAATGGTGTTAGCGAGTTTTCACTTAAATTAGCATGACGATTCTTCAAGATCGCCTCAAGGAGCATTAGCCTTTGCTCCATCACCACTCCATAGTTAGCTAACCAATCAGCCGCTCGATTGTCTTCTTTACAACAATGGTTAATAGCAATCTCCCAACTTCTACCAAAGATGAGAGCCTTGCATTTGCGAAGTATGTGTATATAAGGAGAGTTAGAGGGTGTCTCACCCTTTGACATGCAAAAGAGTCAATAGCCAACTTCACCTTCCTAACAGCCGGCGATTTAAAAAAAATAGAGTTATAGAACGTAGTTCTACCGTTACATAACAGCCGGCGAGTTGAGTGTGATTTTCAATGCGCCGTTGGGAACGGCATCCCAATATCTATTACAGCCATTATAGAACGGAACAGCCGAGTTTTGCTTCCATGAGAACAAGTAATAATGGTCAAAGAATTAGTAAAGTTGTTATGCATGCTTTTCAAATTTTCACAATAATAATCATATGATCAATCTTTGTTATGTATCCATGGTCCTAGGCAATAGATAGCCGTATCTTTCATATAATATCAAATTTTCCTACATTAAAGACTCAGAGTACAAAATTGGATAAGTTTATCGCATAAGATCAGCAATCTAACACAAACAAAGCCCATGTCTGCGCTGCTATGATAATCAGTTGCAGGAACTAAGTTATAAAGATGCTATTCAGATTTCAGAATTCATCGATATACTCTAGAAGATCATCAACATCCTGCTTCAAGGCTGTAATTTTTTGTTGGATAGGAGCAACTCGGTTTTCTATTTCCCGACCACTCAGCTTCTTTTCGCAGCAGTCCACCACGATTGAATGTTTAGTAATTAACCTTTCTTGCAATTCTCGCTCCTTTGTAACAAGTTCCTCCACCTGCAATACAACCAATTACAATTGTATCAATCTTGTAAAAGCTTAAATAACATTCCTATGAAATTGAAAATAGTAAAAATGATTCAAAAGAGCATGAACAGAAATTAATGGGGAGCACCTTAATTGTCTAAAATAAACATTTAAAACAAACCTTAGGAAAGATTTGGGTCGCCTGTGGAGACAACTGCAAGGAAGTAAGCAAGGGCTTCAACTCTTTCAAAAGCTCTTTGAGCAAGTTGTCCGCGGCTTTCCGAGCATTCTTACAAGCTTGGACATTACCGGTTCTAGATAATTCACGCAATGACACCTCCAGTTTATCACGGATTGCTAAACATCGGCTGATAATATTCTCAAGCTGCTGGATTATAGTTTGCACCTAAATATTAAGATGACCAGAACATGCGAAGACATGTACAAATTAGATTTGCTTACTTGAACTTATTGCTCCACAGTCCACACAAATGAGACATTATAAACTCACCTCCTCCCTTTGTACTCTTGCCAAATAGGAGGCAGAACTCTTAGAAATTGAAAAGTCGGCATGAGAGTATGCAATTCCAGCAACAAATAGGAAGAAAAATCCTGAAATCAACATCAATGGCTCCCTGAGCAAGGACAAACAATTGAACTTGTAATATACCTGAGAATCACGACACACATAAGATGGTGAGATTATAAGATGGTTGACAAAACCATAATTATCGATGCTCATAATAAAGTAAAACTATAATAATATTAAAGTAATAACATAAGAGCTGTCAAAGTAATATAAATCCAAGTGTTTCTTCATTATTGGCCAATCTAATATAGCATATAAAAGTAATACCACTGCTATCAAGTGAAAATAATAATTATGCTTCAGACTTTTAACCCAAAACATTAATGTCAATCAAAGAGCTATAATGCTTTTATTTGCACATTTGTAAATTAAACTAGGAATCTGGAGGATGAATTTGTGTAATTTATACCTGAAAATGTTGATTATGCTCTGGAACTGCATTGACCTTCCGCAGAACCATTACTGGTCGACCACTTATATCCAGGTGACTGACTTTGGTCTGGTTGAAATAGAAGTAACAACATTAGTACGTGTTCAAATATTTTGCTTTCATAGAAGGTAAAAAAGGTACAGCTCGAGGAGGGGGTGGGGATTGAGCCGGGATATTAAAGCAATTCATCCTGCTAGATTAATTACCTCTTGCCATTGTTCCACTGGAAATGGAATAGAAACAGACAAGTCACTTGACCCCTCTGGCAAAACAACCTGCAGATCATTAAATTTATCAGAAACTTATGCAAGACTACATAATGCTCTAAGATTTTGATTAAAAGGAAAAGGTTTCCAAATTGAAATAGTTTCCCACTCATTTCATCATATATTGGGGTAGAATCCTAGACAAATATCTAGGAAATTCATGGCCATTGCAAAAAATATCACCGCATTGTTTTGGTTCATCCATATTGTAAAGGATATTCAATTGACAGAACTGACATAGTCTGGTTGGGGTGTTTATAGACCCGCGATCTCATCCAAATCAAATGTTATATCTCTTGTTTTACTCAAAAGTTACTAGCCAATCACAGAAGCAACGAAAGATTCCCTATACCTCTCCCCAATAATAGCTAAATAGCACTAAGCCTCTAATATTGCACATTTGCTCTAATCACTCTAATAGTGTAAACTTATTATTTAATCTTAAAGACTCTAAAATCAAATTTGTATTGTAGCAAACACAACATGGACCACAATTAATGCATCATTTCCATTCCCAATATTATGATCAAAACCACATTTTCAAACCATGTTCGCTCATGGCATGGATGACAGTCTTGACAACTCTTTACATGAAATTGTGAGGATTACAAGTGGCAGAGGGAATATTGTACTATCAACCGCAGACAATTAGCAACCCATAGAGTGCAAGAACTATGACATTATGGAGATCATACATCCTATGACCAAGAGGTCTCTAATGCCCTGGCAAGGGTGACTCCCAACAAAATTGTCCTAGGGCAGTCAGCACAGTCAGTATCAAGCATTTAAGCACAACCAGCATTTTCTGCTTAGGATAATGAGTCAATTTAACACAATCTTCCACACAAACAAAGCACAATAGAACCTTAATATTATAACTAGTATTTAAATTATTGTTCTAACTCTGACAGATCCACAGATGAGGTCAACAAGCTTACACTTCCATACCCTATTCAAATGAAGTATAGAAAGTATGCAATACTATTAACCAATAAACATAGTGTCTACAGCCAAGCTGCAATTTCAAGGTAATAACATGAATGGAGAACAAGAAGATGGTATCCACATTGAACCCTAAAGTAATACCTTTACTATGAGCTCATCAACTACCAGCTCATCAATAGGGCTTCCAAATGAGATGTTAACAAAGCGCGTTCCTTCAGCCTCAAATAAGTAATCCTTCAGGGGCAAGCCATATCCAAAGGTAAAAAATGTTTTCCAGCCGCCAAACAAAGGATACCTTGGTTCAATTTCTAGCTCAGTCTGCAAGTATGAAAATTGAAAATAAATAACTAAAGAGCAAAGTTAACAAAGCAGAATTAATCGGACGGTATTCACAAGAAGAACAATACCTTTTTTGAATTACTCTGCAGATTAGAAGTGGAAATATTGCCAATTTCATCCCGATAATAGACTGAATGTGCCCTTGGAGGTAGTTTAGCTACTAGTCTGCTAAATGATGAAGCACCCTTTGCATATGAACTCATTTGATGATCAAGTCTGCATACAAAAACAATGCATGGAATATAATCATAAACGTATGATACTTGTGGTTGGAACAAAATTGATAAATATTGGGAAAAGAAACACACCTGGAAAATTCTCCCTTGAGAATGGCACCTCCATGGACAAGGTTATAATGCTCAGTGATTTGCACATTGCCCCAGTGTGAAATTTCTATCTCACGCACTAATTTTTGTGCAACTGCATATGGCTTGTTGTATTCAAAATGTACAACAACTGGGGAATATGAGAAAGGGGATTGATTCTCATATGGTCCATACTTTATTTCAGAACCTTGGGCTTTGCTGTTTTCTAGTTTGGTATAAGATTCAATTCTTGCATCAGGCAATTTAACACTTAATGTTTGAGCCTTAACTGCATACGGGGATAGATAATATGCACTATCCTGGAATACAACTAGCTGAAAATCACCCTGGGAAACTTTCTCTGGGAATGGCTTCAAGATATGAGCGAATACAGCAAAAACTTCCAAGGATAAGCTTTCTCCCTTAACAAGTTTTTTGGGTAGAGATACAGAATAGGATGTTAAAGATTGAGGGATACCCTCAGATTGAACAGGCTTAAGAGGGAGACTAGCTCCACAGCTTTTTGTCTTCCCTTTGCCTTCAATGTGAAAAGCTGACAAAGAGGCCAAATGTTTCGCCTGGTGATCAGGGAAGGCAACCACAAAGTCTGAAATTGGT